GCTATGGCGACTCAGCGCCCAAACAACTCACTGTTCACACACACCGGATCACCCTGGATATCCCACACACGTAACTCTGAACACTCGCACATACACACACACACTTCACACTAACTACAGCTATGGCAGCTATGGCTGCCTCTACCCTATCGCTATACTAAGCTCCTTCTCTCTCGCCCACTGCGTTCTCCGGGCTCTCTGCAGACCTCCTTGCACAAGTCGCTGTGACAGCGCTTCCGCATGGCTCACGCAGGAATGAATGAAAGGCTGGGCGCTGTCTCTTGATTTATACTTTGGAAATTCGTTGGTCTGCCCTTTGCCAACGGCCCATGGTGCTCACAGTCCCCCGTGGTACTTGCTGGACCGGAGTGGGACTGACTGGACCTTACCGCTGACTGACTGTGGACTCACTGCCAACCTACCGTAGTTGTACTGCGATTGCACTGCAGTATAGTCCACCGCTTGACTCGCCACTTGACCACTTGCCTACTTGCCGACCTTCTAGAAGGACTACAGCTAGACTTCTGGAACTCGCTAAGACTTCTACTCTATAGATCTACAGATCGAACCCCCGCTGCCTATGGACCTACGACATACCTACCAACTGTCTACGAATACACAGGTCACAGTTTAACTCTCGGGAACTACACAGATACTGTACATGGGTAGGGTGAAGTCTAGGGATCGAGCCCTGGGATCTGCGTCTGTTACTGCAAAAGGTGAAAACCGTTTCACTCCCGCTGTCCTAAATTCGAGGTCCTCCGATAATATTTCAGTCCAAGGCAGGACCTTTACCCTTCTTATCACGTTCATAGGCTCTGACTATGTCGGGAGCTGTTTCTAGAAGTTCTGTCCTAGTAAACCAGCGGTCGTCTTCCGGTTCCTGATAAGCAAACCGGACCTTATATTGTTTCTGGGGACGACCTCTACCTCCTGTTCTGAACACATCCTCATCCATAATGCCGTCAATGTCATAACTTCCATCCATTTCCGGGGGGATCATGGATCTTCTTGAAGGGAACTGTTGACTTGTGACACGCGACAACAACTTTGAAGCATGGAAGACAGGGTATGTGTGGAGGTGTGCTGGGATTTCTATAGTGTAGGACGGTCCATCCTCTCCGCCCTTTGACTTCTAGAACCGGCCACGGTCCTCGGTATGCGGGCAGCAACTTCTGCGAGATGTGCTCCTCAGGTGCAAACTCTTTAGATTTGACCCAGACTAAGTCGCCTACCTAAAACTGCGATGGGCGACGGTGCTTATTGGCCTGTTCTATCATTCTGTGCTGGGCCTTTCTGAGGTTCTCAACAACAGTTGCTAGTTCTTTCTCGTGCTGTACGGCGAACTCCCTAGTACCGGGTGGTAGCCTGTGAATCTGATCCCGGTTCAGTCCTTCGAATGGTCTGCGCGGCCTGAAGGACTTGTGCAGCTCATTGGGAGTGCGGCAGGTGGATAGATGCACACTATTGTTGTATGCACTAGCTACYTTGGGCAACATCTCGTCCCAGTTGATCTGATCAGGTCTAATGTACATGCGCAGAACTTGCTGTAGGATCTTGTTCATCTGTTCAGTCTGACCGTTTGTCTCTGGATGGCGGCCATACGACATCAATAGCTTAGATCCGTAGACTCTCATGAGTTCTTGCCAGTTCTGGCTGGTGAAACGACTGTCTCTATCGCTAACTATTGACAATGGGATGCCATTCTCACTAACCTAAAAGTCAAAGAACTTTTGAATCACTAAATCCGTACGTGCCTCTGCAGGCAAGGGAACAAAAACGACATACTTGCTAAAACGGTCAACTATGACCATGACTTGGCTCTTACCATGTCTGCTCTTGACTTGGGTGTCCATGAAGTCTATGGACACTGAGTCTCCCGGCTGATCAGGAATAGGCAAGGGTCTGAGAAGACCTAGGGGGTGCGCGTAGTAGTCTTATTCCTCTGGCAAACTTTGCAACTGCGGACATACTCTATGCAGTCATTTTTCATCCCTGGCCAAGTGTACGCGCGCATCAGATTGGCTAGTGTCTTTTGCCATCCGAAATGTCCCTCAGTATCGTGGCATTCTCCTAGGATCAAACTGCGGATTTCTTCGCTGTTGGGAACGCACAGGCGGTCAAATACATTAGTCTTCTCAAACAGTAATCCGTGTGTAGTGTGGTAATCTGGCTCAGTCTCTGGGGCCTCTCTAACTCTCTTTAGGAGGTCGCTATAGATAGGGTCCTGCACATACGCTTGCTTCACTTTCTCTTGCAGGTCTCTCCCTATATCCAGATAGTGTACTATGGCTCCAAAGTAGTCTGATCTCCTACTCAGAGCGTCCGCAACTACGTTATATTTGCCCTTCACTGGCTTAAGCTCAAAGTCATATTGGTCTATCTCTGCGGCCCACCTAGTCAACTTAGGTGTCATCTTGGCCTGAGTCTTTAACCATCTAAGTGTTTCATGATCAGAATACACTTTGAAGTGCCTCCCAAGCAGGTAATGCTTCCAGTGGTCTAGAGCCTGCCTGAGAGCGTAGAGTTCTCTCTCGTACGTCGAGGTGGCTACTTTCTCTGAGGGCATCCTCGCGGACATGAACTCTACGGGTCTATAGCCATTGTCGTCATCTTGCTGCAACACGGCGCCTATCCCATATTGACTTGCGTTCGTGGTGACGACAAATGGTAAAGACGGATCTGCTACTTTGAGGACAGGGTACTCTATTAGTGCGCGCTTTAATCTCTTTAGCGCAGACGTACAGTCTCTATCCCATTGCCCGATTGCCTTTTTCTTAAGCAACCTGCGCAGGGGAGCGGCGATAGTAGAAAAGTTTCGTACAAACTTTCTATAGTAGTTAGCTAGGCCTAGAAACGACCGCAACTCTGTTAATGTGCGGGGCGTTGGCCAGTCTTTAATCGCCGCGATCTTGCTGTCCTCTGGCTTAATGCCATCTCCGTCTAATACGCGGCCCAAGTACAAGACTTGTGTTTTGGCCCACTCACACTTCTTTGGATTGATCTTGAAGTTAGCCTCTCTCATCTTCTCCAAGACCTGCCTCAGATGACCCTGGTGCTCCTGGAGGGTCTTACTAAAAACTAAGATATCATCTAAGAAGACAACCACAAACTTGTCTAACCATGGTCGAAACAGGTCATTCATATAACGCTGAAAGGTGGTTGGCGCGTTGGTTAGTCCAAAAGGCATCACTATAAACTCATAGTGCCCATATCTAGTCCGGAATGCATTCTTGTACTGATCATCAGGATGGACTTCTATCTGATGGTATCCGGACTTCAAATCTATCTTAGAGAAGTACTTGCAACCCTGCACCCGATCTAGGAGATTGTCTATCCTGGGCAGCGGGTCAACATTCTGTACAGTAATCGCATTTAAACCCCTATAGTCTATACGCATACGAAGCTCTCCTTCCTTCTTTGGGACAAACATAACTGGTGCTTCAAAAGGAGACGAACTGGGCCTGATCCAACGTTTTTCATGGAGCTCGTCTAACTGCTGGCGAAGCTCCTCTAACTCTCTAGGGGACATCCTGTAAATTGCACCCTTAGGAGTTCTACTGCCAGGCTCTATCTCTATCCTGTGCTGGATGGCTCAGTCAAATCTTTGAACTCTTCCAACAACTTGGCAATCGTTGGATCTGTGGAACTATCCTTTTCCTTGACCTCAGTGACAGGTCTAACATAAACTACAAAGACCTGGTCCTCTAACTGCTCCTTTTTCACAAGTCGCGCGAACGCGGGAGCATTGAGACAGCAATGTGCCAAGGTGTTGTCTACACCTGACACATGAAATAAGCGGGCAGCCTACACTCATGCTCTCTCAAATGGAGTGTGGCCCCTACTGCCTCTCCCCAATCCATTCCCAATACTACGTCGAAAGGAAGGTCATCATGTACGAGGAGAGTCAGGGAATGGAGAACTTTCTCCACCTTCCCATTCTTCTCTAGGCGAAAGTACGCCTGGACTCCCTCTACATAGTCCTCAACACGCATTGTGCGGTTGTACGCGAGGACACTGACTATGGGGTCTGCCAATTTCTGGACTTTTAATCCTAGCCTCAACTTTTTCAGCGCTCTACGGCTAATATAACTGCGGGTGGCCCCTGAGTTTATAAGGGCCCCTACTCTACTCCTGAAAACTTCTACATCTACCAAGATCAGTTGTTCTTTGCTTTCTTTCTTCATCTTGGCCCAGACTGGCATCCTCTCCTTTAACTCTTCTGCCACACCTGTGAGGGACGTGCCTAAAGAGACGCTAACACAGGCGGTCTCTAGACAGCTAGCTAGGCACGGGCCTGCGACCTCTGCCATAGGCTCATGTGGGTTGGGAGTGTCCTGTTCGCGTGCGCTCACTTCTCCGCATGACCTTAAAGTAGGGGCAGTTGCAACCCCTACTGGCGGCCGCCTTTTGACTGCTGGGCAGCCCAATAGGCCTGTCTATACTTTGGACAAAATTTAATTGCGTGGGCCGGGTCACCACAAAACACRCACTGACCCAAGTTCACGCGTTCCTGCCATACGCCCTGGTCCAAGCCCAAATCTTCCCAGGGCCTGCTCTGTGGCAAGCCTGGGTGCCATCCTCCTTGAGGTGCCCTTCCACCTCGTCGCTGTGGGGATCGATTAGAACCCTGGCGATTTGGCGGGGGACCTTGACCCGTACCTCCCACTTGGCGGTTTCCCTGTCCGCCAACCCCTTGTGCCCCTGGTCCTCGGCCTCCCATGGCCTGGCCCATTTGGCCCTGGCCTCCTCTTCTACCTTGCGGCCTCCCTCCAGCTGCGACAGCAACACAGGACCTCCCCTGTCCCACGCTACTATCCTCTTCCTCTAGGCCCCATTCAATCTGACTATATGGGACCTCGTCAGTACCACCTTCTTCTAAATTAAGGATCATGTGATCCTTGACCCTCACTTGGCCCGAGATGGTACGGCCTTTCCACCTTTTTCCCTTATCTGAGTCCTTATGCTAGAAGGTGGTAATTGGCATGGACTCTGACTCATACAGGACAACTTCTTTACTCAATGCATCATAAGTGATGTCGGCCTGTTGAGATTTGTCAAAGAAATGCCCACGCAGGGCCTCTGGCATGGCACGATAAAATAATTGGACCAACTGGGTCTCAGTGACCCCATGGTCTGGGACGGCCACCAAGTCGTCCATGGTACCCTTGAGTGCTCTTGCACTCCTCCACTGTCGCGAGTGGATCGTTTGTAGCTTGTCAGAGGCGCGAACGCCTCTCGGTGGGTTTGCAAATCGCTCCTTCAGGAGCTTGAAGAATTGAGGAAGGGGGGTGACTCTTGAATATGCAACCAGGTTGTTTTCACAACCGGCTGCGCGCGCAAGGGACCTGGCAAACTAGCCACCTCATCCTTAAGGGCGTGGAAGGCCACGAGGACTTGTTCCTCTGACAGGATGTGCTGTAAATATATGTAACTATTGACACTGGCCTCCGAGTTGTCAAAGTTCTCCTCCTTCTTCCCCCCGTATGCGTCTGGGAACTTGAGCTTTACAGACTCTTTACGGGGTTTGACCTCGTCCTCTACAGCGACTATTGCTTTGGCACCTTCAATGGCACCTTCGCAAAACTTTCCCACGTTGTCCCTCAGTTGCTTGACTTCGCCCCCAATGTGGGTGACTATATCACGCGCAAAGTCTCTAAATCCCGATCGCATGGCACTCAAAGCTACGTCTTGGCTCCAACTGGCTTGGCGCTCCTCCATCCATGCTTTGCTCAACACCTCTAGGTAGCCCAACACCTTATCCCATTTGGCCTTGTCGTCTGCTTGCGCCTCCACTTCTTTCCTACACTCCTGCACCTTCGCCACCTCTGCGGTCAGTTTGTTGACTTCCTCTCTCCTCCTCTTCTTCTCCCTCTTCATCGTGCCACTACTCCCTTCTCCACTCTCAATCCTCATTCTCTCTTTTTCTTCTTCTGCTGCTACTTCTGCTTCAGCAGCCTTTCTTCCTCCTCCTGTTGAACCCTCGTCATCTCCTCCTCCAACCTCTTCATCTTAGCCGCCTGCTCCTCTGCGATAGCCTTTAGCTTCGCCTGCTTCTCGAGCTCCTTCCTCTCCTTGTTTTCTTTCACTAGGGCGGCCATCTTTTCTTGCTGCTCCTTGGTGTAGGGGCTAGTGTCTTTCCCACTACGGGTCTCAACCATGGTGATCAGTACACAACCGGATCAACGGTTCCAAACCTCACCACGTAGACTCTAACCCCTGACTGACAAACCTATTGACTCATTCTAAGGACTCGCAGAATCCTGACAAGGATCCTGCCAACTATGGTCTCTAGCCTAGACCTAACTATGGCTGTCACTACTAGACCTGTTGCTGATCAGGAGACATTTAAGGAGATCCCCCGAATTCCTCAGGAATTATTTAACGTCGCAGACAGGACGACGCGATCAACAGGTCTCTCAAGACTTAGACGGTCTGTTGTGCAGCCCATAGCTCGGATTTCGGGCCTACCGTGCCACACCGAGCAGCCCGCCGGTCAGTACCGGTCCTTGGGAGGGTTTGACCTCCGGGACAGTCGAGTCGTTAGACACAGCTTTTAGCCCTACTCATCCTGTGTGGGTTTGGTCAACAAGACCCTATCCTTCATCCACAGAGTACTATCACCTAGGACAGAAGAGACTCGATGCAGAAAGAATAGACAGACAGACTGKACTCAGCAAGTACCAAGGGGTGTGTGCTCATCCATAGGGCGAGGGATAGGCTACGGGCTTGGCGAGATGTTACCAGCTCCAGCTTGGTCAAAGTCTTGGTCAACGCCTTGGTCAACGCAGGTCAACGCTGCTGTCAGCCCCCCAGTCAACCCCCGGTCAACTCCGGTCACCTCCGGTCAACACCTCCGGTCAACCCTCCAGTCAGCTATGGCTGCCGGCTCCTCTTCCTCGCCAACCCTCTTCTTCCTTTAGCCTTCCTCGCCTCCTTTC